CCCCAAAACCCCAAAACCCCAAAACCCCAAAACCCCAAAACCCCAACTCTCTTCAAAATCATAGAATTTTCTTAAAAATGTCATCTTTGCTAACATTTTGTTTAGATCTCCATAACTTCTTTATTTCGAAGCCTTATACAATGGGGTTGTATGGAGTTACGTTTTTGGGACTGTACGGTGTGCTTGGATGGAGAATGGTTGTGGGAGGTACAGATGCGTTCTTTTGTTATTTGTTTGTGCATTGTTATGCAATTACTACAAACCTAATCTTCATAATTCTCCGCACTCCTATAAACTTCTACCAAGACCTTGAAGTAGAAGTAGATGTAAGCGAAGACTACACGGTTGGGACAAGCAAGACTACCACTTTGCACATCATGTGCTGATTCTTATTTGGACCTCTGGGTTTCTTATGCAAATGTGGAATTGAAGAAAGCAGACAGCAATATGATGGGTCAGTGAGACTATGTTACCATATCTCTATTGTCACCTTGCTTTCTATAACCTTGTGGACATTGTTTATTGTTCTTCCGATCATTTATGACGAGCAGCAAGATTTAGGATTTGTGATAGGGTTTACAGTAATGATTTATTTTGAGATGTATTGATTTTTAGTATATTATCAAACTCGAACTCATCCTGTTAAAATGCAATGATTACCATATCTTCATCCAATGACTCTGATTATTGTTGTAATGGTAATGTCATTCTTGTTCACAGTCCTGATATCCCTCCTACTAATATCCCTCTGCATCAGACTATGCTCCCTACCATCAGCCTGCTGTAAAGCTCTCCTCGAAGCTATCCAAAGAAGAAAAGAAGCAGATACTGAAAAGAAAGAAGGAAGAAGCCAGGCTTACGAAGAAAATAGTAGAATGCCCATGGCGCCTGAAGGTAAGTTTAGGAATGGAGGTAACCCGTTCACCCCTCCTGTACTTCCTCCTCTAAAACTCATTTTTGAACTACTCTCGCTGAACAACTCTCAAATATTCCACGAAGAGAAAATCAAAAATTGTTTATGAAGGATTTTGAATGTGATAGGGTTTTGGGAAGGAAGAGAAAACAGTGGTGGGTTTAGGGAAGTTTTAGCAGGGATGGGAGATAGGGGTTGTGAGGGGTAGGTGGATTTGGAGGGAAAGATTTATGGGAGATTAGGTATGGTTGTTTGAATAGATGAGGAATTTTTAAAGCAGTCTTGATTATTATTTTGAACAAGCTTATTCTCATGTGTTCAAATATTATCAAAAGCTGCATCACTTGTTATTTTAATTCCTATATCATCTAACTTTATTTAGAATTGGAGCAAGAATGTGCAATATGTTTAGAAAAAGTCACTGATCCAGATACTACACAAACCACAACTTGCGGCCACACATTCCACCAACCCTGCATTAACTTATGGCTATCCTCTCACCCTGGTTGCCCTATCTGATGCAAACCTCTCAAAAAACCCTCTAATCCTGCCTAAAATCCTTGCAAATCTATGCTTCAATCTCTTCTTACCTAAATGGGGTTTTGGGGTTTTGGGGTTTTGGGGG